CACCCAAAATCCAAGTTATCATAGACATGACCCTAAAAACTTCATTTCTTCACGTTTCATAACATTGTAGACCTGTTTGCAATCAAAATTGGAAAATAAAAAAATCGGTCAAATGCAAGGCTCCCATGCGGAAGCAAAAAGCAATTCAAATGTTTCCTTTTAGTTGACGTTGAGTCCATCTTTTGACAATCTGTATACAATTGTTGTTATAATTTCATTATTTTTATTGAATTTTCTAGTTTCGGAATTATTATGGATATTTTAATGAACCAATAGAGCACGTGAAATTCGGGATGTTGATAGTTCTGTTCAGTTATTGGAGAACATATTTTTTTTTTTTGTTTCACGGTCTCGGAGTCCCTTTTTGGGTCCCATTCGGCACTCTATCCAACCCTATGCATGCGGCTGTGGATTCTACACTGTACCGCATTCGCACTCTTATAGAACATAGAAGTAGCATGGGGAAACCACAGAAAACCCATGCCGGTACAGGCGGTTCCTCTATTAGCAACCTCCCGCTCGCCGGAGCCTTCCGTTGAAAAATTCGGTTCCACGGGGAATCGAACTCACAACCTTTCGCACACTAGACTTGCGTCTAATCCACTCGGCCACCGACGTCGGTGAGAGAAGAACATATGCGAAACTAATTTATAGATATCGAACACAAAAAATGTTCCTCACCAATTTTCCTGTCAAATCGATACTTACTGAACTAACGTCATCCGCAATACAGAGAATTATTTCTTGTCTGATAGCTAGCTGAGAAACGAAAGATTTTATGGGAAGAAAACTTTCCACGTTAGAAGACTTTCCAAATCGCATTTCCCAACTTTAAAGAGGTGTTTTGATAATTCTATATACAGAGAAATAATGTATTTAAAATAAATGAACTTTATTCGAATTAAATAGATGCAGTCATGTAACTCGGAGTAAAGCTTTTGGTCGAACTTCAACACACTTTTTATTTTTATTTTTATTTACGTCAAATAAATAGTTCGGCAGCTCAGTAACAGAGTCACGTAACCACAAAAATTTCTCAATTTCTAAAAAATTGTGTGAACAAAATGTATCTCCATTTTTAATCAAGATTCATATATGTCAGAATTTTGTAAAAACTTTCACCATACAAAAGTCAATTCGAAACAAAGAAGCGTATCTCAGAAAATTCAGAGTGAGAGAAACGTATACGAAAAGTATCTAAAAAAGAAAGGTTCGTATCTCCAAAAAAATTTATAAATAAAAATTTGACTTTGCTTGCGTTTGTTCTCGAGTTTTTACGTCTCCTGTGCCACAGCGAAAAATGGGTAACAAGAAAAAAAATGACAGCTTTAAAAATGATAATTGAGGAACTGAAGCTATCTTTGTGCTTGAGTGTCACACAAGGGAATTCTTGATTGCTCTCAAAGGTCAAATGGGAGAGGCAGGTACAGTAATCAAAACCACCAGCAAAGGTTCCCAGTGTCCAGAACGAAGAACTGAATTTAATAAACTTGTGTAATGCATGATATTAGAAATTTAAAAAATAGGTTACTCAATTTCAGTAAAACATCCTTAAAATTCAGTACCAAAAAATCCGTCATCACAAGCCTCTTAGCTCTCGGGATTTCAGTATTATTCAGTACTGAAACCTGAAATGGTTACTGGCAACCAAGAATTTTTTTACTCCATGTTTGTTTCTCCCACATGAATCTCAAAACGTTTCACCCTTTCGCTTGTCCACCAATGCCGGATGAGTCAGGGTTGAGCCAAGCTTGAACAAGCTGTTGAGAAGGGGAGGGAGGCGTATTTGTAAAAACTCTCAGGGTCGTGATGAAAAATATTTTTGATTTTTGTCATCATTTGAATCAATGAACATTAGTCACGGCTAACGACTGGCGACCGAGTCAGGCCCAGTCTTGGTGGCCAAGAATGGACCAAGCGTTATCATTTCGGGGCTGAACCAGCCTTGGACCAGCCTTCCATAGATGCCTGTCTTGGTCCATGACTAGTCAAGGTTGGGCCGCTCTTGGACCAACTTGGGCCACTTGTTAAATCCTACCTGGGCTGCATTTTTTGCTATTATTCTATTTGGCCTTACTGTTCTACTTTGCTCCACTCCGAGGGGTTGGTCACTTAGGAAATCCCTGGACCACACGATTGAAAATCGAGGAAGAAATTACCAAAAATCACTGAAAATCAAGCGATTTCCAACATGCGAGTCATAACAACGTATCTCCCGAGGCCGTACATTTTCAACTTTTTTGATGATTTCAAAGTTTAAAATTGATTTGGAACAGAGGAATGTAAGTGGGATTTACTCTTATTTGATCGGAAATGATTGGAGATACGTTGGTCTATTCCAAAAAAATGAAAAATAATTATTTCGATGATTTTTTCAATACCGAGCATAAATCGCGCATTTTTTGGAAATATGCCATTTTCTTTCTGGAAATGATCGGTTTTGTTAGTTACGTGGCTCTGTTACTAAGCTGTCGATATGTGTATGTGTTTGATTTTGTTTTACGTTTTTCTCGATAACCAATTATTCAAATTTATACCTTGTCTCATAAAATGTAGAGTTCAGTGAGCCCTTTTGTTTGGTACCAATCTAATGTTGTTGTTATTTTGCTACAATTACTCCAACAATAATTGTCCGAATCAATACAATTGTGGCTCGAACTATCCGTTTTACTGTTATCTCGATCGGGTTCGACTATGATGCCAATCATATTTTACTCATAAATAATTATAATCATATGTTTAACCCTAGTTTGGTCACCATATGAGATCTTGTGACTTTGGTCATCTCTGCGTGGATTCGCCACCATGTTATTTGGGCTCGAGCGTTGCCAAATGTACTCTACATGGCCTGAACACGTTTGTCAAGTTTCCAGCAACATGGCACAACGGGCAATTGTATTACGCCTGGAAAAAAATTATTCGTCGGTTGAAAATAATTTGTTTTCTTGAGGAATTCTATATATAAATCATTTTTTTAATTATTGTAATTCTCTAGAGACTTGAATTGAAGAATTCCATTTTTTAGTATTTTTCCGCTCAGCCAGACAATGATAAGGTACTATGTCATTAGGTAACAAAGGTATTATCTGACTATTGGGACTTCATCATAATCACATGAGTTAGATAACACTTTTGTTGCCGTGTGGCATACAACATTTTATGTCATTGGGCCCGAAATCCACGAATCGCGATTTTTCGAGCCTACTGACACAAAAACAAAAACGACGCTATGCTGCATCTCCCTCCTACGGTGACCAAACTAAGGTTAAAAATAAATCAGTTTGAGTGTGTGAGAATAGTGCTGTAAAAGTAGAAGTATTTTTTTTGTAATGAAAAAGCAGTCCGGTACGTCGATAGAGAATTTTCCAACGAATGAAATGTGCCCAACTATATTGGAATCGGATGAAAGCTGTAGCTTTACCCTTATGGGAATGAGATATATGCAGCACTTATATCTAGCATATATTTGGCATACCACATTTTTGGCCGAAAATATATCTGAGATATAATATATTGCAGATATATGTTAAATATTTTACATCGAGATATATGTGCATATTTATATCTAGAATATATCTGGCATATGATATTTTTGGCCGAAATATAAGTGAAATATACTGAGATATGTCCGGATATATGTTCTTTCCATGAGGGTAAGCCTCAAGCACTCACACTCGGCCGCCAGGCTTCGACCATCGCACAGTTAGCCCAGCGCCGCTGGGTTGAGGGGTCTCCTCAGTAATTTTCGCCACAAAACGACAATGTGCTAGCGAGCTGAATATGTCATATAACAATCAAGAATAGTAAAAGGAAGAACAAAAAAAAGAATTACATTACTGGCGCTCGAGGGGTCGACAGGAACTTACTTCCGCCAAGCGGCGCGGCGTCGCTTTTCTATCCGTTCGACGTCTTTCCTTTTTTTAGCTAAACAATTTTCCCGAGAAAAAGACGGACGACGCTCGAGGAACACACTAAAAGATAAAAAAACTAAAACGGGAGGCGCCGCGCTCTTTGAGCGAGTGATAGAAGGTTACGGCTCACGAGCGTCAGAAACATGAGTCAGAATTGAAGGTCAAAAATAAGGTTCCAATATAAGGATCATAAGTCCTGGAGGAGTCTGATCTCCGTGAGAATATTCATTCGGAAGTAAACTGCTAATCTTTTAGCAAAAATGACCCACCAAATTATAAAAAAATTAAGAATTTTCCACTAAAATTAATATACGTAAGACAGCACTTCACCGACGCTACGCGTCCGTGAATTCCTGCCTACGGCTATTATAACAAAAAATATTGTTCATCACACGGCCGAAAAAAAACTTTTCTAGCTCATGTAATTGCAAACTCATATTCGCCGGAAATAGTTATTTTCATCACAAGGTCCACAAAGTATTTTGTGACGAATGTGGCTTTGTAGGCCGAGCCGAAGGCTATAATCACATTCGTCAGAAAATACTTTTGGACCGTGTGATGAATACAATTTTTCGTCAGAAGGCTTCGCTCGCTTCGCTCGGTTAGATCGCGGTTTACCGGGCCTTCTCACGAAAATTTTTTTTCAACCTAATGATGAAATGTACTATTTTTGGCTGAGTGTAAAGCGAGAATTCGCTGAACGAACGGTGAATTTATCTGTCCATAGAATACTTTTCCACCACCAGTTTCTGAGGAATTACGTTACAAAAGAGAAAATTTATCCTTTACTTCATATTATTTTCGTCGATTTCTTTTAAAATTTATGACATGAATTTTCAAAAAATTAATCACCCAAAATCCAAATTTTCACAGACATGACTCGAAAAACATAATTTCTTCATGTTTCATAACATTCTGGACCAATTGCAATCAAAATTATAAAATCGAAAAATCAATCAAAAACAAGCAAAATACATGGTGTTCATGTGAGTGTTAAGCGTGAGGTCCAGAATAAAGGCAGGGTGAAGGGATTATCAATATTGATGAACTTTTGGTGGCATTTGTAACGATAAATACTTGATTTTTCAGGAGTGCGACGTTGTTGTAATGTTTCCAAGTGGTGCCAGTGATGAAACATTAATGTGGCTCCTTGGAAGACTACGAGCAGGTACACCAGGACTCGTAGTACACGTTCGTCATCATGCGTCTTCGGATAGTTATGGATTCTACCTCACAGCACCTTTCCCAATGTACGATCAATTTTCACGTTACTGCAAACACTTCAACTCGGGAAACACAGAAAGAATCTTCCATATTTCAAGCAAACAATCATTTATTCATATAGCTAACAAGCTATTTCAGTAGCAATTATCGAGGGACTTTTTCCTGGAAAATTTCATCGACTACGAACAATGTTCATTTAACGAGTCAAGCTTGAAATTGCAAAAAGTCGTAATTTAACATACTCGTATTATTAAACCTAGTTTAGTCTTCTGATTTCCGGCGTTTTTATTCGAATCTCCAAGGTTGAAAGATATCCAAGTATCTTCTACAGTTTGGTACCGACTACACTATAGATGCAACTATGTTCAATAATCAAATTTGCCAATTAAATTGCGTGAGAAAATTTTGACAAAAATCATGAATATTCAGCGTCATTCAATTACATTTTACACAGAATTATTATTTTTTACACATTCGTTCTGTATAAATACCTTATTGAAACCCTTTAAACTTTCGGAAAAATCATTTTTTTAGGCATTGGAATCGATTTCTGGTAAAATTCTGAACATGAATAAAATTGTTATGATTCCGAACACATGATCATTGTAGTGGAAAATTGATTATTTATAAATTATTTATGGAAAATGCTCGTAATTTTCAAAAATTACCATTTGTTAAATTATTTCATTAATCTTCCTCCACAAGTTAACTTTCTATTTCTTTTCAGATTGTTAACACGTTTTCTAACGATTCAGTATCGAGATTCAAATTCAGATCTGCAAAGATTGAATAATAAAATCATTGTAAAATGACCGCAAACTTAGAGCAAATGGCGCTAGAATAAAAGCTCTGATGTTTGACTACAAAAACAAAAACGGAGAAAAAAATCTTCATTGGAGAAAAAATAGTTAAAGTACTTGGATATCCTTAATTATTACAAAATCATCGAAAGGATTGTTCCAAATATTTGTACACTTCTCAACAACTGATTTTTTTGAGGGATTCTCTAGTCAACCATTTAACAGATATGGGAAGACTATACTGATAGGGTATGTTAAAAAGTAGAAAAAATGCTGACCACCATCGATTTTGGTCCGTACTTCAACGGAAAACGACATTTTTCTTTTTTCAAGAACAAAGTGAATCATTAGTTTCACAATACATTGGATAGAGCGTGAAAAAAATGAAAAACATTTTTTTTATCGTTTCTGCAGTGATCAATTTATTGTTCATTTCATATTTAAGGATAATCGGGCGAGGAGGAAATGTAGGAGGTGAGGCGGAGGGGTTTCTATTGTTTTCCTGCAGAAAACCAATCGCTGAACAAAAAAATTTTTCCCATTCGGATTCAAAATGCAGGTAATATTAGGGAGTATCTCCGGTTAAAAATTATTTTTGGAGCTAATCAAATTTATTTGCATCTGTCCCACGCATTGAATCGTTTTCAGATTGTTTTTTTTAATAAATCCATGCGAAAAAGTGGCAACACCGTCGGTATTTTTTTTTTCACCAGGAGCTGGTACCACTGGCTCGAGGGAGCTCCAATCACAACGCTTCATCGCTCTCTCTCAAGAGACGTTTAAATTGACCGCGCTACCCCCACCCAATCGGTACTTGGGACGTTGCTGCTCGTTTGGGCAGCGTGCGCAGAAATTTCATTTTTCAGTGCTTTTTTCGCTATTATTAATAAACAATGCTCCTAGGCGACAATCTTATTCGCTCATAAAATCATTGATCACATGTTCTAAATGTGTCTAAAATTTCATGACTTTGGCTGCATTTTTTCCTTGGGTTTTGCAGTTTTTTTGGTGATTTCCATAAGATCACGGGTTAAATGAACACTTTTTCAAAAATTCATAATAAATTAACCATGGTCCGCGGCAGTCTGAAACTGCACACGCCTTTTCCATCATTTAAAGAATACGTTAAAAAAAAGAAAAAAATGGCTGCTTTTTTTCCAACCCTCCCAGCTCGCCCGATTATCCTTAATGTTTTCATGATTCATCAAATGGATCATAAAACGAATGTTTCACTTTGTTCCTTGGAGCCTAGCGAACTTTTTGGGAAAAAAGTTAATCAAATAAAAATTGACGTACATGACCGGTTTTATAAATAAAAATGGAAAACGTTATTTTTTGTCATTCCGGCCGTAAGGCAGCGTTTCATGGACGCTCCGCGTCCGTGAATCTCTGCCTACGGCCGTCATGACAAAAAAATTTTTTCGGCCTAATGACGAAATATACTATTTTGTCATTTCGGCCGCAAGACAGCGCTTTACGGACGTATAGCGCCTAAAGCGCTGCGGCTGTTATGACTAAATAGTATATTTCGATACGAGTGAGACGCAATTTTCACCAATGTGAAGTTGGCGGCCCGAGGCGAAGCCGAGGGAATCACACGAGCTGAAAATTCCTGACTCACATGTGTCGAACAACATTTTTTGACACTGATGTTACGTTCAGCGAGTGGCTGAACTGTGCTGTTTTCATTTACAAGTAAAGGAAAAGACTTTTCGTTTACGCCCCAGGTAAGAATTGACGATAGAAACAGGGCTCATCAAGCCCTGGACCAAGGCTCGGAAATGTTCAATCAGGGCTGCTCAGCCTTGGATCAATCCTCCTTCAGCCCTAAAATGATAACCTCGTTTCAGGCTTAGTCCGCAAGGCTTGAACGAGGCTCGGTGCCAAGGCTTGATTCAAGCCTTGAATTACCACATTTTAAAGGCTCAATCGAGCTTCGGCTAAATAAACTGGAGTATTGTTTACAGATATTTGTATAAACAATTTCTTATTGCTTCATAACCCTTTTTATGAATTTAGAGTAACCTATGAAAGAGAGTGCGGTCGGACCGTACATCACTGTTGGTAAGCGTTGTTGGAGATTGTGATTGTCGGTTACTTAACAATGGATGGGAAAAAAATTATCATCATTAGTTTCTATTAATTATTCGTCCTGGATTATTACCGCGCACCTGGAAATTGAAATACAATAAAATCAAACATTTAAAAATTTGCTCCTCTGCTGGGGTTCGATCCGGGGTCCTTCTGATCCGTAGACAAGCGCGCTATCCACTGGGCTACCTGCGACTTCTTAGGATGATACATTTTTTTCGGGTATAAAAATTCAACTTGTGTTAGTGTTATTTTGTTATTTTGTTGATATCCTAATTAAACTTCCTGAACTTTAATAAATGATAGGTCCGATGGATTTATGAGTTCAAAATCGATTGATTAATTAATTATAGATAAGGATAATAATAATTATGTAGCCTCGTGCACAAAGGGCTGCTCTAGGCCTGGTCTGGGGGTAGCTTAGATAACTTGGCGGAAAATTATAGCTATGTTTGTAGATGATGATAATGTTTTCACCACCATTAGCTAATGAGTATTGATATAAAAATTGAGGAAATTAATCGAAAGTAACTTTAATTTTCGAGGCCTTGCTGAGCCCTGAATAAGCCTTGACGTACTCAGCCTGAATACTAAAAGCCTGGACTAGGCCTGGATTGAGCCTCGCCAATGGCCCCTTTAATCATCCTGATTTGAAGCTCAAGTGAACGATGAAACCAAGCCTATCCCAGGCCTGAATAACTGAGCCTCGCCAACCCTGGGCTCATACAGGCTTGTTCTCATCGTCAGCCTATGTAATTCTTACCTGGGCGAGTAAATGAAATAGTACATTTCGACACTAGGCCGTGAGGAATTTTTCTGGCGAATATGAGGTTCCAGGACGAGCCGAAGGCAAGTTCTGTAATCATATGAAGTAGAAAAGTTCTCACGGTCGTGTGTCGAACAATATTTTTTGTCATTAGGCCCGAAATCGCAGTTTATCGGGCCTAGTGACGGAAAGGCACTTTCCGGCACGAGGTGAACATCGCAGCAGTGTCCAAAAATATTATTCGACATACGGCCTAAATAGTATATCATCAATTGTGATCCTCATTTGTCCTACTTTTTAACATCTTCCATAATACATCAACAATAGATGTTCAAATTTCATCACGGTCACCCCTTCAGTAATGAAAAAGACTTTTTCCTGAATTGCTTTTCACGATTACTCATCTGGGATTGGTATTGTATACTTCCCAAACTGGGAAACTTAAAAAACATTACAATAAAATCTTGTTCCAGTCTGTTGCAAAGGGGTTTTCTTACTCGGATGAAAAAATCCTATAGGATTTCCTATCGCATATCCTATAGGAAATGTTCGAATTCTCCTATAGGATTCAGTTTCAAATAGGATTTTCTATAGGATTCCTTATCTGGTTTTTCCTATTGTATTTCATATAGAATGTCCTATACGCTTTTCCAATATTATTTCATATGAGATTTTCAACAAAATTTCCTATAAAATTTAAGGGCATAAGGGTCACAATGAGAGTCGAAAGTGCCAGATGGAAAACATGTGGGGGTCATACATAGGTCATAAAGGGTCATATTAAAGTCATTTGAGGGTAATATGGGAGTCATATGGGAATCATATCAGAGTTCGATGGGGTCATATAGGGGATACATGGGGGTTATATAGAGATTATTTGGGGGCCATATGAGGGTCATATGAAGGTTATTTGATCCTCATATGACGCCCATATGAGCCTCCTATGACTTCTGTATGACCCCCGTATGTCCCCATGTGACGCCATATAACCCTTTTACGACACTCATAGGAACCCTATGTGATCTTTATATCACTCGCATATGACTCTTTTGACCCTCACTCTGATCCTTATGATCGTAAATTTCATAGGAAATCCTATTAAAAATCTCATAGGATATCCTATTGAAAATCCTATAAGAAATCCTATAGGAAATCCAATAGGAAAAGCCTGATAGGGAATCCCATAAAAAAATCCTATAGGAAATCCTATCTGAAAAATCCTGCAGGAAATGTTCGGATTCTCCATAGGATTTTTTCATACGTAATATACTCATGTGCACACGGAGAAAAATGTTCAGTAAAAATGACAGAATACGGACCGTATCGCAATTTTTCACAGGAGATTCAGATAAAAATTACAGAACGCTCTGGAAAAATTCCATGACAGTTCCGTAAAATTTCCTACAATCACATTTCGCTCCAGAATTACGGAAAAGATACGTAATTTTTATTGAATATTTCTCTCCGTGTGGGGTTGACGTCCGAGCCGAAGGCGAGACCAACCACACGAGTAAAACACCCCATCGAATTATGAAACCGTTTCAGGAATGACAAATTTTCGTTCTGAAAATCACTTGTTCATTATACAATTGCATAATTAACGAAACTGCACAAAATCCCGAGAATATTCCAGAGTCATTCTCAGATAAATTCCATTTAAATTCGATATTTCCAATATAACAACTTAAAAATCCCAAAGGGGGGGGGGGTTGAGAATATAAAAGACATTTTCAATCCCCAAAAATGTATCCGTCTTTATAAAAAAAATTCACCTGTTGCCGCAGACTCCTCAAAGCAGCCGAGGAGATGCACCTCCCGAAAGCCCTCCGTCAAGAGTACGGTGGCGGTCTGAAGGAATTTGTATGCACCGAGACAAGTTGCTTTGAGGGCAGCGATGACGAGACACAGTTTTTCACAACCCAAGAGAGACAGTCTCTCGTGCTTCATCTCCTCCATACATTAAGGGCAGGTCAGCAGGACCTGAAAAGTCTTCCGGGTATCAAGTTAGTGGAAGGACAGGCCATTATTCCCAAGTGCATTTCAGCTGGTGTCATCTCTCAGGTGAATGCTTCTACCTAGATTAAAGGACAAAGTTATTTAAATAATATTCATGTATTTTGTGATTGTATTTGTTTCTTTTTTTTTCTTCCTCCTACTTAAGAACTATTACATCTTTTTTGAAGGTTTATTTCTTCGAATTTCCAAAAAATTTCGATTTTTTCCACCCAGAATAAATTTTATTCAACTTTATCGAGTTAATCAATTAATGTTTACGGGCTTGTATTCGTTTTGGCTAGGTATTTCCTCTCCACGAGCTACCAGCACTCGAGAAACTTCAGAAGAGCTGGGTACGAGCATTCTTCAGCCCTCAGCCCCTTGACGACATCTGTAATTACTTTGGTGTTAAGATAACAATGTACTTTGCATGGCTGGGACATTATACCACCGCCCTCGTCGTTCCTGCTGCAGTGGGTGTCATATTCTGGGTAAATACAGATGAATACCTATGCACGACCATTGATTATGATGAGGGCTTCAAATATCCACGGCATTCTTTGAGAGTTAAATAAACATGGACTCTCGAAACGTTAATTATCGCATTTACATTGGGAATGAGTCGTTTAAGGGAAAATTTCCAAAGATCTTCTTAATGATGACAAAATTTTGATAGAAAAAAACTCTCCTGATAATTCCTCGTAATATGCGCTATGAGGAGTTAGTGTAGGGAGACAACTGCACAATTATGCAAATGCCATACGTCAACTTGAACCGGTTTGCTATTTTCCTGTTATATTACGTCATACGATTAGGAGGAAGAGAGGTCTGTATTTTGTCACGCCCAGTTGTGGGAAAAAAATGAACATAATGTGAGGAGGGATTTTTTTTTCCTGGAAGGAGTGAACTGATCTGAGCCAACACGGCTTAATCTACTAATTTTTCCATGACCTTATTGTATCGTCCAAAGCCTGTCTAGTCTCTTAATTTCTCCTCTTCTAGCTGGTTAATTTCATCAACTGTTAAAAAGATCTCGTGAAATTTTAGAATCAAGTCACCATTTCCGGAATAATTATCAAATGAACAAAAATTCAATTTGTCGTTTTGAAACTGAGTTTCTTTATCAATCATTTATCTTAGGAGAAATCATGAAAATAGCTTTCTTGAAACGAGCCTACTTTGTCGAATCTAGTGTCCGATATTCACGTTTTTCTCTTCACAACTCCCATTTAAACCAATGTTGAATTATTTTTTTGATTTTATAAAATGACGTTATTTTACATACTATCGGAGTCATTTTTGACTCAAAATGTGCATAATTTAACCAACATTATTTAGTGAACTCTCTTCACACGGATTTCTGCATACAATGATTGTAGTAAACTTTCTGCAGTACAAAATTCTGAATGGACTACAGATCATCATACAAAATGATAATAAATTCATTACATCCATGGGTGTCCCATGGGAATGTGTGAAAACTGTTTATTTTTTTTTACTGGAAACAGGGAAAAAGAGAAGGAATACAGTTCCTGATGGAGGAGAGTTGTCATTTTGATTTCACCGTATATTCATTATTGAAACATGTAATTCACCCAACAAAAATAGTAGCTTACAACAATTGTACGTGACAAGTGCGATTAATAGTAAATGTTTTCGAAATGAGAGCCATCAACACTGGCGCAATAATCCAAACGTTTCCTAAAACCGTAGAATGTTTCCTGTGGAATACCGTGAACAGTCTTTTTAATGTTGTTTATCAAATTTTCGGTTATTTTTGGCTTGCTTGCGTAACAAGAACCTTTTATGTAACTCCACAGGAAATAATCACACGAATTCAAATCTGGTGAATAGGGTGGCCAATCTATTCCCCCTCCACAAAATTTTGGATATCCCAAACCAAGAACTCGACCGCGATAAACTGTATTAAGAATTTCAAAAACTTCGTGAGTACGGTGGGGAGCTGCTTCATCCTGCATAAAATAAAACCCATTGACAAGCCCTCTTTTTCTGGCATGAGGGAAGAATTTTGTTTCTAACATTCTTTTGTACTCATTTCCGGTAACGGTAGATTCGAAAAAATGTAGATAGACACCCTTCATGGAGAGAGCAACCCAAACAGTGACTTTCTGTGGATGAGCAGATCTCGTAACCAAAAAATTAGGTTTTTCAGATCCCCAAAATCTCAAATTATTTTTGTTCACGTAGTTGTCTAGCCAAAAGTGTGCCTCGTCAGAAAAAAACAATTGCTGTTTCATGCAGCTCGCCATTTTCGAATATTTGTGTCATTCTTTCACAAAATTCCTTTCGTCTCAGAATCGCCTCCTCTATCAAACGCTGACACATCAATATTTTATATGGATGAAGTTTCAAAAAAACGTGGAGGATGCGATGCAACGTTGATTTGGTCAATTTAAAATCTTGAGCGGCTCTCCGAATGGACGAGTTGGGATTTGCCTTGAAATAGCGTATTCCTCGAAATTTTCAATTATTCTAGAAAAAGAATATTATCATGACTAGAAACCAACGGGATTTCTACGAAAATCTGTAATGTGTTTTGTTATGTCACACAATCAACATGAAAAGAAATTTATTCCAACCCTCTCAAAGCAGGTTCGCCAGCAACTCGTTTGGATCCAAATTTAGTACGAAACCCCCTAAAAGCTTCACAGTATTTTTTCCCTCTCGAATAGAAGCACTCGATGAGATATCTTTTTTCTTGAACTGTCAAATCACTCATTACTGCTAACAAACTAAACCTCCTGCCACAGTTGGAATAAAACTGACTGGACCCTAGTAAACGTAACACAAACGTAGAGAGTCAAGGTTATTTTGGATGATTCGGCAGATAAGTTTAGTTTTCACACATTCCTATGGGACACCCTGTACAATTTTTCTAGGATTTTTATGGTTCACATCGTCCTATCTGTGGCGAAATGGTCAATTTATGATAAGTTTCCTGTTCTTAGGAGAAGGATTTTTTATTTGAATGAACATTCCTATTAAACTACAGTCAAGGCTTCATATAAGATACCTCGAGCTCTGAGCGCTCGAGACCCACCTCCACTCTCCGCACTCTTATCGCCTCCCGAATGTTTAGTTCTTCTTATAAGTTCTTCTTATAAGAGACCTATGGCCTCGATCATTTTCCAATGGGACAAGAGTGATTATAAGGATCAAACGGAGTTAAAGGTCAAACGGGAAGGACGAACGAAGTGATCATAAAGGGCAAATGACCTTAAGGGTCAAGAGTTCAAACGTGAGAGTCAAGTGAAGTAATCAGAAGGGTTAAACGAACCCAAGGGTCACCTCTTTTCTGCGATACCACAATTATTAAAATGATGACGCAGAATTATCTTGATAGAATAAAGCCTAATTAACATTCAATTGATTTACTTACTTTCAATAATTTGTACTTCAGTTGTCCAGAAGTGATTATTCTCAAGTCCCCCAACAATCCCCCAACATCAGCTGCCATTCTATAGCGCGGGATTATGTTTAGAAAAGGTAACGCGGACTATACGAATTCAAAATATTAAACTCGTGGAAATTGATTAGTCATCAATATCTATTCGGTAAATATATAAGCGCGCGTAGTGGGGGTATACGGATTCCCGGAATTCCGCTCTCCTACTGTCCCTAAGGTATCTTATATGAAGCCTTAACATTGAGCAATTCCAAAACTTGATTGAAATAAAAGCCAATCATTTTGCTGGATTCAATGGGAGAGAGTGAGATAAAACGCACCGTTTTTAGTGATCACCCAAAAGAAACGTACTACATCAAGTGGAAAAAACGACTTGAAACGAGTCGAGCTGAATCCTGCCGAGAATCGACTTATTCGATGCCGCAATCGATGTAGATTTGAGGAGATTCTTCGACTTGATTCAAGTAGATTCTTCGAGTTACTTCGAGTTCAGCCTAACCTAATTCAAATCTGTTCTGAGGCTAGATTCAGTTAAACTCGAATCAAGTATCAATTTAACTTGCATCAAGTCATTGTCTGAAACAGATAGCAGATTCGGCGTGAGTGAATCCATTTATTTGGTTTTGATCAACTCGTTCCTTCAGCTGAAGGATATCTAAATACTTCGTTCAAATTAGCAACTTTATTTCAAGCAAGATTTCAGTTTCGTACAAAATCTCGTCATCCCCATACTTTTCCGGATTTTTCATTATCGAATACATTTTTCCGGGAATTTCGTCAATGAATATTGTGACCAACATTTTATTCCATTTCACACTTGACTCTCGTTGGTCTAACCTCTAATGATCATATGGCAACACTGCATATGTGCTCCATGTACACGGAGAAAAAAATACATCGTAATTTTGTGAGAATCCTTCCAAAAATTAGTGTGCTGTTCACCAACGCTGGGACATAACAGGGAGTCATCGGAGAATTCGCATGTGGCACACTAATTTTTATGGGAATCCCCCGAAAAAGTGGCCGGAGTCCCACCAAAAATTAGGGTGCTACTTATGAATGTTTCGACGACCCCATGTTATGTCCCGGCGTTGGGGGACAGCACACTAATTTTTGGGAGATTTTTTTCTCAGTGTAATCTCGTAAATTCGGTCCGCGTAATCACTTAACTTGAGCGGACCGTTGCCAGGCGTCAGGAACGCGGGGATTCAAACCACCCAATATGGCCGTCGTACCAAGAAGCATTAATTTGATTATAATTGACCAGCTGATCAATTAAAACCATACGATTGTCTGACCCCCCTCCCCCCCCCCACCACTTCCCCCACCATCACAGGGGACGACATATAAGGACAGCCCCCAAACGTCGGAGCTCAGAATCGGAGCTCATAGCCCTGCAGATGTAGACTGCAATGTTTGCGAAACGTCGGCGCAATGCTGAAACCAAACGAGGCATCCATCCGGAAGTCAATAATGTCAAGCATTAATTTGATTGTTGGCAATTATCTGACCGGAAACTTATGTTTTTTAATAACGCAAAAAAAACTAGAGAGTATAAAGGAAGTAGTTATGTGTCGTAGTTACTGGAGGTAGTTATGTATACAAGAAAACGCTTTAATACTATGAACTATTGGATTGAAGGTAGGAGTATAGTATACTCAGTATACAGCTTATATGTACGCAATGTGTTAAATTTCAGTTTTTCAGAAATCGTTTTCTCGAAAATATGTTCGGAAACTAAAGTTGATATTGCGCCTAAAAAATACTCTTGGTCTATTCTATAAACTCTGATGAGGATTGCCTCCAGAAAAAATTGCCCAAACTACTTGGATATTCTTAAATGAACCCGGTCATTCAGCTTGAATCAGGTTAATGTGGATGTGAGACGTTTTTTTTTAAATAATGCATTGTTGTACTCATAGCAAGCCCGAAATCCGGACTGATGGAGTTTCATTAGTTAAAATTTAATAGAATATTGGTCACTTGAAAAGTGGGTCACTTGAAATCATCAGAATAAAATTGAACCAACTTTACGCTATTTTCAAGATGTTTCTTTCGAAAGAAACATCTTGGCGATCGCCTCAAAATGAAACAAATTTTTTATTCAACTCGTATCCTTTCATCAGACAATATTGCAAATTTTACCAGGTCTCCTTTAAGCCTCTGCTTTTCCATCGAGCAATCTCAAAACCAATCAACCCCCTGGGAAAATGCGTAAATAGAACAAGGAAATTTCCTTTAACATATCAAAACAATCATCTTTCTGTAGCCACAATATAAACTCAAGAGAATAGTATTTACTTAAAGTAGCTTTACCCTTCGGCCGAGCTACGCTGTACTTTTGGATATTTTCACTTTGTTAATTTTTCAACTAAATTGCATGGAAAAAATGTGAAAAAATTCATACCCAGTCAGTATCATCTAAATTAAATTTCGCAAAATATTGATATTTTTTTGAACATTTCCCTTTTATAAATAAATAATATAACTTGTTTGCAAAACGGTGGATTATTTTCTATGAGATGTCAAAAAAATTCTTGATTTTTTCACATCTAATGAAAAAAAATTCAGATTTTAATCTTTGATTACAATGGAAATATTGATTTTCACATAAGACACTGGGTTAAATCCTGCTTTTTAAACATTTCTTCTTTGAAACACCAAAACGATAATTAAATTGAGAACAAAATTAGAATTCCGAATCTAATCGAGTTTTCTGCTATTTTTTGCGGTTTTCGATAATCTTTGAATTTACCGTAAGGGTAGAGCTACTTTAATGTGTTATTAAATACATCACAAACCTAAACGTCATTGGGCCCATGTTCGCGGGCAGGTTTAATCTACAAACATCACAGAATGTCAATAGTGCTAATGACGAATAACAGTGTATTGAACCTGTCGGTAGGTGCGCTATGAGCGTTTCCCTCGCAAAAATTTCCACTCCATAGGAAATATACCCTACATAAGTGCAAATATTTTGCTGAAATTTTTGAAATGCCCCAAGTAACTTTTCTAGTTGAGTCGGGTTGTGTATAAAAGTCGCCTATCGCTCAGGGTTGAGTAGAAAAATAGTATATTTCGTCATTAGGCCGAAAAAAACTTTTCTGGCGAACATAAGGTTTGCAGCACGAGCCGAAGGTGAGGGCTGCAATCATATTCGTCAGATAAGTTTTTTTTTACCGTATGACGAACAATATTTTTTATCATGACGGTCGTAGGCAGGGATTCACGGACGCGGAGCGTCCGTGAAACGCTGCCTTACGGCCGAAATGACAAAAGAATATTTTTTTCGGCTGAGTCGAATTTTTTAGGTATTACGGATGCGGAACCCGTGCCGCTGAACCCCGAACCGAGCTGCCTGTCGCGATATTTGCCTCTATTCTTACGAGAAACCGATGAGGGGCTCCCTCATCGCGCGTCTCAAGAATGCTGGTGGAACCGCGCTCCTACTGACGGGTTAATCTGAAATTGCAATTGATTGAGCTTTCACGGACAATGGGAATCATAATTTGTCGAAAATTAAATCGATATCTACCGCAACAAGCTTTTCAGTTAAAGAAAAACAATTAGTATTTACATATATGCATATCTTAAAAACCAGTATCAAAAAACTTTCAGAAAAAGTATTTTTTATAGTATATTAACTTTTGGCCCATTATTGACTCTCGAGTTTATTTGATATTGTGGATTTGATTTGATATAACATTGTATTTATTCTTTGAAATGCAATTATGTTTGCAATAAGTAGAATTTTTGTGGCTAAAAAAAATATTTTATTTTTTGCTGGATGTAAGAAAAAAAAGGCACTTTCTAATTGTGCAGGTCGGCATCATCGGAAGGAACCAGGCGGTGGAGGACGTTGCCTACGTATTGTTCTCCATTCTCAACGTCATCTGGGCAACCGCATACCTCGAAACTTGGAAGCGCAAGGGCGCAGAGCTTGCCTACAAGTGGGGCACACTAGATCAGAGGGATGATCTCTTAGTTGAGCCTAGACCACTCTTTGTGGTATGTCTCTTGCTCTCGTACATTATAGAGAGTTTTAACCGTCAGGGTCACTCGTGAATTTTTACTTGATCCAAAAGTTTTACATCGAATAATCCCCTTTGTAAGATTTCAACAACTTTGTGCGCTTTTTGGCTCTGAAGTTGAAGCTAAACCCCAGGAACTCGGCTTAATGGGAGTTTCAAGAGTAGGAGATTATATGTACTTTATTTATAAACGTTTGGTGTACTTCCGAACAATTTCTTAATGCAAAAGATATTCGAACCAAATTGACCGTGTTTGAGTTTCCATTTGCATTACTACACTGAGAAAGAAAATTTCTAATATCTGAAACATATTTTCTTGAGAGAAGTAAATCATTTTCAATGGCTTAAATCTCAGAATGTGTGCACTTCACGGAACTCAAATGAATTTTCATTCATCACTATCGTTCCGTGTTACGTCATGAATATTTTCCACTTCGCATATTGGAAGTGCATAACGAAAAAATCATGAAAACACTAAAGACGGACATTTGCGACAAAATCATACTTGAGTACAAAAATATTTTAAAAATATTTGTCATGTGAGTTGAGACGCCTGAGAGAATTACGCAATTGAAGAAAATTTACTTGTCTCAAGAATATATGTTTCAGATATTAGAAATTTTTTTTCTCAGTGTATCATACTTTCCGGAAATTTTTTTCTGTGCTTTATTTGTTATGGCAGGGTTTTTACGCCTCGAGATATTTACATTCGCCTAAATCTTCCGTGCTCATTCATCCAAGTAATAACTATATTCAGTACTACTTAGCTTTCCATTACTTAATCTTCCCATCGTAACAGCATGTTCGCTCCAGGTCATTAAAACGCATTATTAATTTTTGTCATTGAATAAAGAAAATGAATTTCACATTGTGTCTAGAACTGAAGGGGTAAGCTGAATTCAATTCATTTCCAGAATCAGTTTTTTGTTTTTGGTTAATGATGCCCCGAGAGAAACGAGAAGAGAGGCGTTATGGGACGAGACGAGACAAGTTGGTCGAGAGAATTAATGAAACGAAACCCTTATATTTTTTGACCCTTATTTTTCCTGTTATCTTTTGGGTGTGAGACGAGACCACATAAAACGAGTTGAGACGAGAGGCTGCGAGAAAATCTTTCAACTCTCGATGAGACGAGAGAAGAAATATCTCTCATATGTCGAGACGAGACGAGACGAGAAAATGCAGTTTCTCGTCTTTTCTCGTCTCGCGGCATCACTATTTTTGGTGGTACCAAATCGAAGAGAAATGGACAAATTTCACCAAGCAACTCTTGGAGTGAGAGCGATAGAAATGTTTCTCTGAAAAACATTGATACCGCTTTCAAGTTTCGAGCTATTATCCTGTAAGGGTTAGTCTCGAAACTGCATCAGATTGGAGATTTATTCTATTTCCCTCTTTCGCTAGTCAACTGTTGTCTGACTCCTGAAATGAATATGTTGAACTGAAAGAAGGCTTACGTTTAAATTAAAACAAATATGTTCTCCAGTCGATTTTTTTTCAACAATAGGTCAATGAATCAAGTTGTTAAGTTTTAGTTTTTCAACACACATTCAATAATTAACATCATGGAGAAATAGAAAAAAAAATTATATTTTTCGTGTCCATTGCATTACTACATACCCCCCTTCTTTCAGAACCACCACCCTATCAAGTGGTCACGAATGCTCATTTTTTTATGACCATAACGGGAAAGTAAGACTTATCGATTATGTTCCCGAACGGATAGAACCTTATGTGTGGCGCCCCCCCCCCTTAGCTCCAGCTGAGACAGGTGATTAAGAGGGTCCCTGGTGAAATTTGAAAGTCTTCGATTGGTGAAAATAACTATCGTGCGACTGCTGATATATGATGGGCTACCTAAAACACTAAGACAAAATTTCGTAACCAACCGATTTTACCCTGTACGTCAGGCGAAAACTTCGTTTTTCGTGTTTTTGGTTTTGAAATGCTCCTCACACCACAATTTTCATCTGATCCGATCTTTTCTTTTTTCCAAATATTCATTGGATTCCATAGAATAAAACTAGTGTTTTTTTTGTTTATCTCAATTAGATCACAGAAAAAATAATTTTTTTCGGTTTACTCGTTTTTTTTACTTTTTCATACCGTATAAAAATGATTATTCGGTGTAATTGAATATCAAAATAGTATATAAAACGCCTTTTCATAAGAAAAATTTTGATGTTCAACGACTCAGAATAATAATTTTTAGATGCCTGTGCAGATTCTGCAATGAATCAAACGAGGACAGCTTTTACATTTTGTGTAATTGCCCAGAACTGTGGGTGCTAAGGGTACACTACTGGGGCATCCCTGTCCCCACAGTGGATCAGCTCGCAAACAAAGAAGTCGTAGACATATTGAGACTGACTACTGAGACCGGGATTCAAATATAAAAACGTACACAGCAAAAATGAATATCTGAATTTCATACACCTTTTGCAGATATTTTTCAGACACTAAACAACGTCTAAGCAAAATGAAAATGGGTCTGAATTTCAGACGAACAAGTACCCAAACATCTTAATTCATGTTCGAGATTCAGACAAATTTTCATTTTATTCAGACGATTTTTAGTGTCTGAAAAATGTCTACAAAAGGTGTGTTAAATTTAGACACTCGTTTTTGCTGTGTACTTCAGTTAAAGCGGAGCTGCAGTAACTTGGATAAGTTTGCTGGCACCGGGGAGACTGGTCCAACCCCCTCCGTAAGTTTCAACTAACTAAGCAACTAGGTACCCCATTATATATATCATCATGACCACCATGATCATCATAACCATCCTTTCCGAACAATAAAGCCCTTTTGAGTTTTCCACATAAAATGCGTAGTTATCGAGATATAAATGTTCAAAAGTTTGCGGATTCCTTACTCAACTAAATTCGCCGTTGAAATCGCGTGGAACGCCCCACATTAAAAGTCGCTCGATAGTTATTTCCATCAACCGAAGACTCAAAATTTGTCCAGGGTGCCCCTTAAAACAGACCTCCTCCACTTGCACTGATAGACTGATTCATTTATTCCAAACGAGATTCGTTAACTATTAACGAATGATACAGTTGAATATGACTAAATGAATATTCGTTAATAGTTAACAAATGTTTCACTTCAAAAGTGAAAATCGAGTCAAACAAGGCTCCTCAAATGTGCATTTGTTAACTATTAACGAATGAACATTTGGTGAGACCGAATAGACCCTCGTCTCCAAACAAATCCATTCGGTAATAATAGCTAATCCTTTCTATCAGTGTGTCGTCGCCAGCCCAAGCCCAAGCGAACGCCTTTCGCATTCCTAGTAAAAATTGCATGTGTTGAGACGCGATATTCAACATTGTAAGTAGCGGAACTTTGGCTCTATGTTGCACAAATACGTGCAATTTTTACTAGAAATTGTATGTATCGCCGATGCCCACCAAACTTATCAATGGTAACGGTCGGAGTCCGCAAAAAAATCAGTTCGCACTCTTCTAGATTTAAACCACTGCCCGGCCAGATGCTCCATCTTTGTAAATTTACTAACTGTTATTGTTTGGTTTCCAGGGAACACTGCAAGTATCGCCAGTTACTGGAAGACTTGAGCCTACCTATCCAAACTGGAAAAGAAACGCTATCCGTTACTGCATAACTGTACCTGTCATTGCAGTCTCTCTCTTCTTCGTCTTTATTGTTATGATTCTCAGTTTTCAAATACAGGTGTTCGCTTTTATCTTACTCTGAGTTAGCTCAACAAAAGAAAAGAGCATTGTTTCTGAACATTTTCCATTGAACATTCCATTAGGACTGGTGGGACGCTCGACTGGAAGCAGCAGGCTACGGTTTTTGGTTGAGTTACGTGCCAAAAGTTCTGTTAGCAGTGGTGATCGCAGTGATGGATGAAGCGTACTTCAAAATAGCTGTTTGGTTGAATGATTTGGGTATGTCTCCAGCTTGCCTTCTTATTCATTGAATCTTTGATGTTATTCGAGTTGAAAGGATGAAGTTGGAATATGTTTATCTGATAAATTTTCAACATTACCTGAGTCTGTGTAGGTAATATTAAATGAGGGCATCTAACTTTTCCTTATTCTCTGTCTTGTCTCATCTCCTTGTGAAATCTTTAACACTGTAGTGAAGTGGTATAGAACAAGAGATGAGTTGGAAAGTTTAATACAAATTATCACACAGAAAACGATGGGCATACACCGTATGTACCAAGCGCACAGTTTTTGCACATTTTGTACATAAATGGCTACTGCGCACTGAAAAAACCAACATGTTCATAACCCCTCCCGTACGAGGTCGATACATGGTATCGACCCATGAAAATATGAATAACTCTTTTCAAGAAATAATTAAAATTGATTATTTCGAAAAGTGAGTCAACCAAACAAATGATATCAAAGAAAGGAATACTATAGCTTCAGTTACATATGAGTTTCATCATTTTCCATTGATTATAAGTCATCGAATTCTAGTTGTATCGAGCATACACCACGCTTAGAAACCAAAGGTCCCCGTGAGGATTAACAAAATCTTGTTTGAAGCGAAAAAGTTGTAAGCTGCCAAGATAATTGCCGAGAAAGAAATTGTTTCATTTACACATAGAAAAATTTTAAACATGAATAGTCGGTCCGCTTTCGATAACGACATATCCCGGGATAAAAATTTTCAGTCTCTCGAGTCTGCCCGCTACTATGAGAGACTAAAATCAGTTTGCCTGGGTCTCTCGGAATCGGTCACGCATCTCGGAGAGTCTTTGGTGAGAGACTCGAGTATGTATGAGTCTTTGCCTCCGCGCCAGAGACTGGAGTCTCTCATCGAGAGATCGGGACTTAGAATTTTTTGTGGTAAATCTAATTCTCTCATTAATTAGACCATATTGATTGGGATTATTGATCACTAATCAAATTCGATATTGGGGTGATATGTTTCGAGGATCATACCTCGCAAGGGTCAAATATCATGAGGGTCATACTTCGTACGTCATGCCTTACAAGGGTCACATATCGCGAGCGCACAACGTCTCAATGATCATACCCGACAAGGATCAAACGTCCGAAGCACTAACCGCACAAGGGCCAAGCGAAGCAAGGGTTATATCTCGCGAGGATAAAACGTCTCAAGGGTCATATCTCCCGAAGGTCAAACGTCGTTAGCACATACCGCTCGAGGGTCAGGCGTCGAGAGAATCATATCTCACGAGGGTCAAACGTCGCAAGGATCATGTCGATTCCGCGTCACTACATGTTTAATTTCCCTCCCCCCNGTGGAATTCCATTTTTTTTATAGTAAGAAGACAAGGATTTTCCAAAGTATTCAAATTTTAAATCGATATTCTAGAAATGCATAATATCATTCTATTTCACCCTCCACTCGAAATGACACGACTCAATCGGAGCTGAGTTCTAAGCGTTGAGCCACAGCTCAAACTCAAGTGCCGGGTTATGCCGTCTGATGAGCGTTTGACTGTGAGCCGGTATGGAGCGGCGTGTCGCGGCGTGAACTCGGGTCAAGCGGCAAGCCGAGGCTGAGCTCGCGCTCACCCGAGTTGCGGCTGAATCCCCGGTTGAATTTCTACCCGGGTGATAGTTCAATTTACAGCGGTATCCCATTTTACTGCGCTGTCTGTTTGTCTATTGTGTAATTGGCCGTATTACCTCACTGCCCAATTTACTCCGGTATACCGTTTTGCTCTATTGTGCAAACTACCCTGTCCGCTTTGCCCTACTGCCCAATTTACCCTGATATACTGTTTTACCCCACTGTTAACTTACCCCGAAATCCCGTTTTTTGTCACTGTTTAAACCACCCTGAAATCCTGGTCTTTGTCACTGTTTAAATTACCCCGATATATACCATTTTATCCCACTGCCCAATTTACCTCACTGACCAATTTACCCCGATATACCGTTCTACCCCACTGTCCATTTTCTCCCAGTATACCATTTTACCCCACTGCTAACTTATCCGATATCCCATTCGACCCCACCGTTAAATTTACCCTGATATCCTATTTAACCTCATTGTTCATTTATTTTCCCTTCCATTCACTAGGCTACATTACCCCACTACACATAGCACTATCATACCTGTTCCATGAATTACCTATATAAGCCCAAAAAGTATTATCAGTGTCAGAAGAAACAGCACGGACTAGAGGACTCCCGGACATTCACCGATCATCGAAGTTAAGCAGCATCGAGCCGGGATAGTAATTGGATGGGTGACCGCTGGATAACATGGGGGACCGTTAGATCGAATTCTTTTTTTTTTTACTACCATGATTAGATTGACGGATTACATACATTGATGTACTTAATTATACTCCACCAATAAAATTGGGGGAGTTATTAATGATTAATTAATTATTGGAACCGGTGAGAGACCCAGAGTCTCTCGCCCATAGACTCTTGGTTCTGGTCGGCCAATACAATAATATCGCACAGTCTCTTGCGAAGAGTCTCTCAAAAGTATGTATACTGGCGCTGAGCAATACTCTTTGAGAGACGCAGACGCAAGTCTCTCAGACCCTCAAAGACTCATTTTTTCATCCCGGCATTTGATTCAAGAAATGAAATGATATCTTCTGAGGGCAAAAATATTTCACAGAAAGTGGGGTTGATCAAGGAATACGTAATTCCTAAGTTACAGGATTGCTACCATATCATTATTATTATTCTACTTAAGAATCAATTTCTTATTTTTGAGGATTGGATAGTCGAAACAAAAGACTACTTTGTTCCCTTTTCACATGAAACGAACATTTTTCGGGAGCAAAAAGCGTTGTTTGAAAACATCTTTTTTTTCTTTCAAAATACATTGATAAATGCCATACTATACAAGTTTGTGAATACCGAACGCTCGGTGTTTCCTGTATAATGGTTGAAACAACTCTGGAACTAGAAGATTTAGATGAAAAATGTGGAAAGATGGAGTTTGGTGAGGATCTAAATTTTGGGTAGATGTGAGAGGTGTTGTCACAGGATAAGCCGGGACAGAATTAGAACACTGATTTATAAAACATCACTATTTTTTAGTGGACTCGAGCCACTTCGTTAACGTAATATATACACTTTGGTTTGAACTAGATTATTGAGTGTCTCAAAATTAAAGGAAATTAATTTACTGAATTATTAAATCACTGTTGAATGTCTTTGATAATTGTCTCTGATAATCATCTTTAAATTTGAGTAGTTGATATACTTTCACGTGATGCTACAATTTAATACACGTGCGGCCTTCGCAATTGCTAAATTTCAACCCACTTTTCGGAGGTTTCGCGATCCCCTGACCGTTCAACCGAAGGTTCTCGAAGATTGTCGATAGGACCGACCGTTTGCCTGATCGATATATAACTGCGTTCCAAGCAGATCGGTTGTGCTTATAATAATTTTTAAATGTGCAAAACTTTTGCACATTTATAAATTTTCCACAAAAAAATTATTGAGATTTCTTCCAAACAATTTTTTGAGTAAATTTTTTTTGTAAACTAATATCAAGAATCATCTTGGTTCCTCCTACCTACTCCAAAATCCTATCCAACAATATCTTGTAACGTTCCAATATGTGGAATGCTATGTAAACTCCCGTCTTTAGTAAAAAAAAAAAAGAATTCAACGAAAATTGGAATGTAGAGGGAAAAAATTCCGCATTGTCCCAACTGAATTTCTTTTGTCGGGAAAAAGATCTTTAAGAGAGGAAATCTGAAACTCTTTATTAGAAGATATTTCGTGAGTGAACTAAAAATGATTTTTTTGCCTTGTCTACCACTTCACTATTGAATTCACTCTTCTCAAACACATTATAGAGATTTATTACTTATCTGCACGTTTGTTTAGAAACTTTTATTATTAGCAATTCATTGCAGAAACTTGGTGGTAGTTTACAAAAAATGTAGAATGAAAATTTCTCAAAATTAATTTAATAGTGGAAGAGAAGCGAGATAAGTCCAGTTGATGAACATCTCTAAATGTGCTTGAGATGAATATTTACCTTGTCTCAAGGAATCCAATAAATGTTTCTGGTGAACATTTCTTGATTCGAAGATATCCTTCAAGAAGACTTATTTCGTAATACCACTTCACTATTGAATTAGTCTCTCTTTTTCTTGTTTATCGTAGATATAGTATCTATAATTTCTTTTGTTGGACGCAGAAAACTATCGTCTTGACACCGAGTACGAGAATCATCTGATCTACAAAGTGGCACTGGTAATGATGAGTTTATTCTGGTCAATTAATAATCGAACTCCATTTTAAAACTGTAGGAAAGAAAGGAATGATTGCATGAAACAAATGGTTGGAGAAAAAAATATGTTAGGTATAGGTGTAGAATAGAAAGATTAGAATACCAAGAATCTTTTTTATAGTCAATTATCCACTTTTCATTATATCCCAACGATTTACTTTCTGAGTGAATTCCTAGATAAGTAAACTTTTTAAATTTCTTCACTAATCTCTCAATTTAATCAATTGTCTATTTCAGTTTCAGTTCGTCAACTCATTTTTATCACTCTTTTACATCGCATTTTATCTTCAAGATCAAGAAAGATTGAAAGAGGTGAGTAATTAATTCACACAGTTGAAGAAAAAACTCAATTATTTCTGATTATTTTCTCATTCCATGTGCTTTTCTTATTTCTTAAAAATAGCAACTAGCAGCGTTATTGATAGCTCGTCAAGTGATAAGTAACTTGAAGGAATCAGCAATTCCCTATCTCATCGAGCAGCTCCGTCTTGCTCGCATGAGTTTCGAACTCTTTGGTGCTTTAAGCCCAAGTGAAGCTCGGGCACCTCCAGGTACAACTGAAGAAAAACCATCAGAAACGCAGCCCGAGGAAATAGATGAAAAAGATGCCAAAGAGGGACAGAAGGGAAAACAGCAGAGGACAATTAGCCAAGCGGAGCTTGAAAGTTCTCTCTACAGAGTAGGACATCCTACTAATTCTCTACTTAGTGACGTTACCTTCAAGGTTTGGTCTAGACCTTGCCAAAAGCTTCTTTCGTCGTTCTTTTCTGTCTTTCTAATTGTTTGATTAAACTCGCATGTTAATTGATATTTTTCTGGCCCAATAATTAATCACGATAAAAAAAATCCTAAAAATCAATCAATTCATCTGTGAAGTGGCGGAAAGAGTGAAGTCAATCATCTTTATCAATTAGATATTTGTATAAAACATGATTGTGTTAAGGGAAAAATTTTAAGATACTTTGATTGTTGTCCGGAAATTTTCAACAAATTCGCGATCGCAACATAGATGTGTGGTCTCCAAACTGATTACTCTTGGAAGCCAACCAATGAGATCACGGAGAACCCAGTGATCTTGTCGACTGACGCCTATCATTGGTTCACTCCCAGTGATTTCATTGGTTGGCCACCAAGAGTGGTTAGTTTAAAGCTCACTTGGTGGCTCTCACATCTACGTTGAGATCGCGAATAAATGTACTATGTCTCGACGAAAAATCCCGGGTAGAAATCACGCCGCTCGAGCTCGGCTCGGAACCCGTATCCCAGCTAGAAATACGCCACTCCGCCCCAGCTTGGGATAAACTCCGCGCGCGTCACATGTACCCGAGGTTGAGCCGCGTCACGCGCTCACAGCCCAGCGTTAGACTATTACGCGAAACGCTTCGCCGGGCTTTAGTTGAATGGCCACTGCTCAACCTCGGGTTCATCTCCAATTACTCAATCCCAGTATACTTAACCTCAATAATGATTTGACAGGTCCGATGGCATCGTGATTTGAGCGAAAAAACAATCGAATAAATGTGAAGATGGCATGCTTTTTCAGATGAACAATCACAAGCTCATCAGAAATAACGTGATATTAACTAATCGAATGGGATTAATCTGAAAATACAAGGTAGAACAATTCACTGAAACGTAGTCAAAACTTTCTTTTTTCTCGCGAATACAACAAACAAAATCAAGAAAAATAATCACTTGAAAAACGTTAACGTTGTTCTTCATTCAATAAAATAAAATAAACGATCTAAAGTAGTAATGATTGAGAATTATTCTTTATTAATTGGAACAATAAAAAAAAAATCGAAAAAATTCAACTCTATTTCCCTATCTCATATCATTTCCCTATATCATTTCCATATATCTCCGCACTGTGAGGAAGAAAGCCAAATTTTATGGGTTGTTATTTTGAAGCGAGTCACAGTATATTCGATGACAGAGGGGAAAATCAGTAAATTTCAAATTTTATAGAAAGTTCAGTGGAATTCCATTTTTTTCATTGTAAGAAGACAAGGATTTTCCAAAGTATTCAAGTTTTAAATCGATATTCTAAAAATGCATAATATCATTCTATTTCACCCTCCACTCGAAATGACACGACTCAATCGGAGCTGAGTTCTAAGCGTTGAGCCACAGCTCAAACTCAAGTGCCGGGTTATGCCGTCTGATGAGCGTTTGACTGTGAGCCGGTATGGAGCGGCGTGTCGCGGCGTGAACTCGGGTCAAGCGGCAAGCCGAGGCTGAGCTCGCGCTCAAACGAGTTGCGGCTGAATCCCCGGTTGAATTTCTACCCGGGATGTTACTCGTTAACCGAGAAAAAAGTTGCGAAAAAGGTACCATGAAAAACGCGTAACATTTACGTGATGAAACGCAATTGTGATGAATAACAGATGTTTCGTAGAACTCGCTCTTCTCCGTGCGAATTTTTATGGAGTGTCACGTAAAATAGTATATTTCGTCACTAGGCCGAAAGAAACTTTTCCGGCCGTGAGGCAGCGCTTCACGGACGCTGCGCTCCGCTCCGCGTCCGTGAATCTCTGCCTACGGCCGTCATAACAAAAAATACTGTTCGTCATACGGCCAAAAAAAACTTTTCTAGCTCATATGATTGCAGCCCTCGCCTTCGGCTCGGGCTGCAAACTCATATTCGCCAGAAAAGTTTCTTTCGGCCTAGTGACGAAATATACTATTGTTATGACGGCCGTAGGCAGAGATTGAAGCGCTGCCTCACGGCCGGAATGACAAAAAGTACGTTTCCATTATATTCGCTTCACATAGTTTTTACATAAAAATTCCCGAAATAGTTTTCCGCCCACTTTTTACGTGGCTTTTGTCACGTAATTTTCCGAAACTTTTTTCTCCGTGTACCGACATAAAAAAATTCAAAATAAATTCTTAAACTACTCTATGGTATAGAAGCATTGATAAAGAGGCACTTCGGCGGGGAAATTTCAATAACTATCAAAATATTTCTCCGAAGTTTTCCCTGAACCTACTAGTCACGAAAATACTTGGAAAATATCTAGAAAATGCTGTTGCGAATTCTCTACATGAATATGTATTGATTGTTGATCTCAGAAACGAGCGATTCCACAATAGTATATCGAATCCTTTTTTTCATCATAATGCATGTGAAATGGAGTTTTGCGTTCGTAGTGCGAGTAAAATATAATTTCACACACAACATGATGAAAGAAAATGTCGGGAGACAAAATATCAAAACGTGATGAAGCGTCTTTTGATACGTTCTCCTAACTCGATTTGCTACCGATATGATTCAACAATCAAGAATATGAGTTATATAGACTCAAATGTTTTTACCACTTCTTCACAGAATTTCTGTTTGTGGTTCGATTAGTTCGTTTAGTTGAGCAAAATTTTTGAATAATTTAATTTTGGTTTCTTCATCGGTCATACCCCGGTCATCGACGCTCCAGATACACTTTAGCAAAAAGGTAAATTGTGTCCCATTCGATTGTTATTATTTACTCTCCAGCATCTCAAGCTCTACTCATTTATTAAATAAGTATTATCAGTGCACAGCGATTACTTTGCTTACATTCAATCAACTAGTGCTATAGTAATCTAGAGATTAATGATTTATTATATTATTCATCATTATTTTATGGAGAATAATATAGTGGGCTTTTGCAGTATGATGGAGCGTTCTCAGAGCATTTGGAGATGCTGTCACAGCTGGGATATGTTTGTTTGTTTTCATCTGCATTTCCACTCGCTGCGATGGCTGCTCTTTTGGGAAATCTTCTGGAACTTAGGGGGGATGCTTTCAAGTTGTGTTTTGTTCTCCAACGACCTTTTGGGAGACGAGTTTCTAGCATTGGAACTTGGCAGGTAAAATTAAGTTTTTTATTCATGATATTTTCTGCGTATTTACTCACTTTCTATGGTGAAAAAGCAAACATTTCATGCAGTATATTTATCGACAATTCGGCAACTGAGTCATGTGTGGGGCGTTTCATGCTACTTCGATCAAATTGAAAGACGTTTTTTCCAAACTTCAAGAAAAATTAAATATGTTGTCGATTTATTCCATGCATGTCTTGGATGGTGATTAAAAGAAAATTTTTTCGAAGTTATGCGGAATCAAAATTTTAGGTGGGGCCAAGTGAGTTATTTTTTTAAAGATATAACTCGACAAACATGAATTTTATCAGAGACGTGCAAAACAACTTTTTTATTCAAAACAGGTGTAAGTTTCGGGAAAAAAAATCCAGTCTCGAAGAAATTGAATTTACAATAAATTAATCAATGGACAAATTAAAAAGTTAACAAATCATGCGTGCATGGTGTGAAAAATTCGAAAAAAATATATATTATAAAGTAGATATCCAAGATTTTTTCTATTTAAAGCATTCAAATGATTACGGCTTACGCTGCTAAGTTTCAAAGATACAATATAATATATGAGTACAAGATTTTTACATATTTAACACTGCTTATATTCATGTAATTTATACTTTGATATTAGAGCTTACCAGGAATTTATTTATAATCTTGAGAGCACTTTTTTGAAGTACACTGAGAAAGTAACTATCATAGTACGGAGGGAAGTACAGCCCTTGGACATCAGATGCCCGAACATGAACGGTCTGTCGAGGTCGTAGAATGGGCATTGCCAAAGTACATGGTTTAAAATTTTAACTTTAAATCCTCAACAGAAAAATAACATTCGGACGCCAGACTATCCGTGATCCCAACGCTCGCCAATGAACCGGTCATATAATAGTGGTTAGTCCTGGCTCTATTTATCCATAATATTATTTCTCGCAAAAGTTTTTTCTCTTTACTGAACTACGGTTTTCTATTTAATTGATAAAATTTCTCGAAATACTGTTTGCCTTTATCTTTGGCCAATTCTTCTATCATCTAGTGAGTTATTCCATACGATTCTTTTTTAAAAACGTTCCGAACGTCGGAGGTACCTTGATATGTTCGTCATAGGAATACTCGGTAGGCTCTCTAGCAAGCTCGTCAGCTCTGTCGTTCTATACCTTTTGTGGGAAGGTACCCATACCTTCCCACACACATATGAATTGCCTGTACTCTTGTTTCATCTCAAGAATATAAGGATTTACTTTTATCGACGAGATTGGGCCAAAGAGATATCACAGCGCTAAGAGAAACGCTCACAATCAAAAAGTTGTTATTCAGGTGTGATAATGCTATTTTTAGGACTAAGTTTAATGCTAGACATTCAGCTATACATACGGAGCAAATATGATTGATACTTCAAGACCTATTGATATTCAACTGTGGGGAGTAACAGGAGAATCCGACTGACATATAATTCGCTATTTTACTCCCATCTGTGAAAATTTCGATATTTACGGGTAATGTTTTCCTCTTGACTGTTTGTCTTGGCCTATTGATTTCTATCGATGATAAATCTCTTTCCCAGATCCCAGATTTTAATGATCAATAAGTAAGGAAGATATAACGGTATCATAGTTATGAGAGTACAAATTAAATTGATCATCACAATACAAATGAGGAAGGATGGGTTCGATATCTATTATACATTCCTTAAGTAGGCGGGGTTTCGTCGTTCTTTTATTATCCAAATAAAATGAGATGATGGGGGATGAGATCTGTAGTTGTCGGTTTGATAGGATTTCAGATAAGTAGGTCTTACATAGGAAGGTGGCTCGGGATTCAATAGTGGGTTGTTTACTCTCTGCCGGCAAAATTTTGACTGGAGTTGAATTTCTGTAACCCATACATATGCTAATTGCAGCGTTCTCCATTCTCTCCAGTCTAGAAACATGAGTCTTCCTTGACGGAAAATAGAGGAATAGTCCATACTCTATTATTGGCTGTACAAATGATTTAGATAGAATTATTATTGTTTCAAGATCAAAACCCCACCATACTCTCCTCAAAAATTTGATCATGTTAAGAGATCTCAATGCAAACCCTAGGTTTATTCAAATGCTCTTTCAAGTTAAGTTTGTGATCCAGAATTATACTAAGAAACCTGGCAGACAGTACGTGATTTGCTAACCTTGTACGTTTATCAAAGTATTTCTTGGTGGATCCTGCTGTTTATTGAAATGTATAAACCCTGTTTTTGAAGGAGAGAGTATTAAACCAATCTCACGTAAGTTTCACTCATAATGTTCACAACTTTTTCAATATTTGCAACTATTTTCCTCACAGATGCGAAACTGTGAGGGTACGATATCGTCGGCAAATTGGGCAATGACATCTTTCGGTATATTCTTAGTGATTTCAGATACATATATTGTGTAGTAGGGGTGAGAAGACCCCCTCTTGAGGAACACCTTTATAGACAAATCCGAGAAGGGAATTGAAGGATGCGTGGATTGATCTTTTATATATGAGAAACTTGACGAATGCAATAGTTTTTACAGAAAAAAAAATTAATAATTTTGCTAGGACATCCAATGTCGGAAATTTTATCTATAAGAAGAGACACTCGACATTATCAAATGCAGATTTAACATCCAGAAAAACTCCAAGAGTTTCGCGGTTTTTATAGAGATTATAATCGGTGTAAAGAATAAAGTTGCTTAGATTGCACGGTACTACAGAATTTGGGTCAGTTTGACCACAATTATGAAACCTACATGGTTTTGAAGATTTTTTCACGCTGATTACGAATCTGAAAAAATCCTCTAGGAGGTCTAGTTATAGAGTAATAATATTGAAAACCGGAAAACTAGCTAAAATGCTCAGTTCGAATAATTAATTAAAAAATGACTTTGGTCGTTCTGAGTTCGATTAAAAAAACGCTAGATTGGTGGAATTCTCATCTTTCTAGTGATTGCTCCCTCCCTTCGATTCGTTGCGCAGAAAATTCTAAAAAAATTCATGAAAAATTAGCATTTTTTGAGAGAAAGAATGTTTATGGTTGGGTGGAATGGCCCGAAGTTAGTTATGAATTTTTGGAGAAGCGCCAAGTTCAAACCGATACCAACACGTGTTGTAACCTCCAGTGGATTGTAATCAGGACTAAAAGATGCCCTTCCTTCAAGGAAAACTCCTGATCAACCTAGTGAAAAATCATCGTGAATTGTGGAAGGATGTCGCACCTGATTTTGATGCAGAGAACTCAGCCGTCTGGGAGGAAATTAGAAATTATTTTAATCCTCCCATTTCAGGTATTTACTTTTGAATGGAAAGGAAATATTCAATTTTGATATTCGCAACTAATTTTTGCTACAATCAGGCCAGCAAGTCTGCTCGAAAAGTCAAAATCAAAATTCATTAAAATATCAACGAGTAGAAGAAAGTGTTTCCGTGAAAGTATCCATAATAGCCTTTAGCACGACTAATTGCTGGTGAGGAAATTACGGATTTACCCAGGGATCTACAAACATTGATTAATTTATAAATAACAGACCGAATTGTGAGTAACAAAATTTGTAAACCCAAATTTGAATCCTTCAGATCATTCCAGGGGTAGGAATTTTAACTATATAGATTTCTGTAAAATCACGCTTGTTTTTTTAAACCGAATAGTTATTCAAAATATATTTAAATTCAAATTTGATTCCCATTACAACTCCAAATTTCTTGATTAATAATTAGTCTCAACTCAAACCCTATCCCTAAATCAAACCCTTTTCCTTTATATTTTAGAAAAAGGTAAGAGTATAAAACTTTGCGTCGTCCAATAATTATAAAATCTAATGATTTGAGCTTTGATTTTAATGTGACAATTAAACATGTCCTAACAGGACCAACGAACACTCCCTCCTTAATTTTCGCAGCACTCAGTCCTGGAAATAATTTTTGCAAATAACTGAAGGCTTCTCCATCTGTCGACAGTTTCTTCACGAAATTCTGGACTAATCCCAGTTTTATATGCAAAACTGGGAGACAAATCAGATCAGGATCGGCAAGCGGTTTCCTTATAACATTTTTCTTTCCAGACTGGAGAGTATCTCGAAGGCTATCCTTGCGAATGTAATGCTCTGAGCATGCTCAACTATCCCATTCGCAAAGGAAGCAGGGAAACTTGGTGTTTCCTAATTGTAGGTCAAAGACGAGGGCAACCATCTTTAAATCCCCGCAAATTCGCTACTGGTAGCGCTCATATCCAATTTTCTCGAAAAGGTACTTGATTATGTCGTGCTTCTCCTTGAGTGTGGTGGAATAGGCGATTGGGACAGATGGATACTAATTCCCAATGTGTAGCACAACTGTTTTCAAACTAGTGCATGAGAAATCTATGAACAATCGCCATTCATCTGGCCTATGTTCAATCCCCACACTCTTTATCAATCCATCAATAACAGAAGCATACGTGAGCTTTTCTTCTTCCGTGAAAAGCTGTTGGAAACGGCGATCTCTAGCACGGAAGTACGAGATATGTACTCCCGGAAGTAAAAGATTACGCTCCTTCAATCTTGATGCTAACAACTCTGCGTGGTATTTAGATAAGCCTGAGAAATCCCTCACCAAATCATTCAGAGCTTCCTGAGTGAAGAGTTGAGGCTGATTCTCGAGTTGGGCTGACGACTCTTCATACTCAGGATTCCTGCTGCTCTCGCTCACTTCTCGAGAAGACATCCACAGATTTTTGATTGTCCACCAATTTCCAAGCTTCGGTTTGTACTTAGCGCTTCTGTACTTGTCGGTTTGTACTTGGCGCTTCTCCAAAAATTCATAACTAACTTCCGGCCATTCCGCCCAACCATAACCATTCTTTCTCTCAAAAAATGCTAATTTTTCATGAATTTTTTTAGAATATTCCGCGCAACGAATCGAAGGGAGGGAGCAATCACTAGAAAGATGAGAATTCCACCAATCTAGCGTTTCTTTAACCGAACTCAGAACGACCAAATTAATTTTTTAATTAATTATTC